TCATTTGCCAGCTCTCATGCTAAAGGGCTACCGCTCGATGGTCGACACTATCGGTCGGGCAACTCCCGGTCAGATCCCGACCGGGTTCCTCACAAGAAGCCCGACCTGTTACCTGCAAAGACAAGAAGAAAAAGACAAAGGCATACCAGCCGGGGTAAAATAATGTCGGTCGGGATATTCCCTACCAATACCCATTCCTATGGGCAAAATCCACCAACCAAACACACCCTAACTTATGAAAATAACATAACACCTAAGCAAAATGCAAAAAACTTAGGGTGTGTTTGGTTCGCACATAGGAATCGGAACCGGAATGGGTATCAAATACTTGGTAATGGTAATGGATTTTGGTGAAAGTATTTAACATGTTTGGTAGTAGGGTGGAATGGGAATGGTTACTAATAGTAGTGCTTGAAAATGAATAAGGGAATGAAACCCTTATTGTATTTGGGTATGAGTTTTTCAATTGATGGGGTATTTGAAACCCATAGTAGTGTTCTAAAAATCTATCAACCAAACAACAACAATCACTTTCATATCCATTCCTATGGGCAAAACCCACTAACCAAACGCACCCTTAGTGTTATGTTTTGGACTTCTAAAGACAGATGCGACATATTACTAGAATTATTTTTTATGTGATGAAATGAGTGAATGAGTGATTTGAATGTTAGATATATGGGTATTGATTCAAAAGAATAAAATATATGGTTTCAGGTGACTAATTATATGTTAGAGTAAGAACAAGCGCTCCAAACCACTTAGAGAGTTAGAGTGGGTTGGGAGTAGAATATATGCACTATTACTTAAAGTCGAATTCTCTTTCAAGTGATCGGACGTTACATTTATACAAGTTAATGATGTATATATACTGTGGGTGATAATGAACCATAATCGATTTAATATTTCAAAAATAATATTTATATATATACACACACAAGTATATAAAATATTATTGGATATTTATTCGAAATATATATATACACACAAATATATATAAAACAGATCCAAAGGTTATATATACATGTATATCTACGAAAAAGATATACCAATATATATCAATCAAAATTGAAACTAATAATCCTCAGATTATAAGTCCAATCCAACTAAAATATCAAAAGAGGGAGAACAGATTTTTGCTTAAAAGCATAATCCAAAACAAGAAAAAAGGAGAAGGAAGAAAGAAATGTACGAGTTAGACAAGGTGTCTTTCTTTCCTTAAAACCTTATTTGCCACCTCCCAAAAGTGCTAGGAGCGTTGTGGCCTAGGTCTCCCAGGATAAAACGTACAACGGTTCGACGTTTGAGCACCCAAACGAACGAACCCGGCGAACAAGAGCACGGGCAAAACACAGCTTCAAGAAAGGAGTAGAAGCAGTAGTAATTTGAGGCTTGGAAAAAAAATTATTTTTTCTTGTGTGTTCTTGTTCCTTTTCCTTAGAAAAATTCTGCTGCACTCTACCCCTTCTTATATAGGGATTGAGGAGTGAATAGCCTTTATTATGGCATTTAGGGGCACCCCTATAACTCCTGTAACGGCAACCATTAACATGAGTGTTAATTCAAAAATTAAAATTGGAATTAATTCAAAGAATTAATCCCATAACAGCTGAACTAAATCCCAATAGGAGCTTTCTGATTCGTGTACTCTGTGCATATTTCGGCCACTGCCTTTGCAAAGTTTCGGCCAAGCTGGCCGAAATTTGCAATTGCAATTGCAATTTGCAATTCATTTGCACATTTGGCCTAGCGTGGCCGAAACTTTGAACACGAAATTTCGTGGCTTTGTCAGAAAATGAAAACTAAAGTTTTGGGATTTGATTCGCACCTCCCTGCGCGTGAGAGAGAGCCTCTATGCTATACAATTCAATAAGTTTAACAAGAGCTCATGTATAAATAGTGGGGCAAATCCTCTTCCCAAACCAATGTGGGACAAAAGCTCACTTTTTCCCTTCATTTTCCAACTCAAATGGGTCTATTTTGAGAATCAATATCTCATTCACCCATTATCCGTTTTGAGCGTACAATATATCAATCTCTTCGTCTCACAACGAAAAACCCGAATCCACTTTGACCCTACCCAAATTGGAAGTGGACCCCACTGATAATTGTATCACAAAATAGCCACTTAATATGTCATTTTATGTCATTTCAAGCTATTTTTTCCAACTTATACTAGAGTTGATCTGCACAATTTAAACATGTTCAGTATTGTATAAAATAGTTAGTTTATTATCATTCTTAAAATTAAAATTTTATAACTCCACAACTCCAAATATTATTTAAGATTTCATGATAGTCCGAAACATTAATCTCAATTACTATATAAATTTCTAACACTTTTATCATTTAACAATGGTTCAATGCCTATTTTGTTCTTTTGTAACTCACTCAACTGAAAGCTAATTATTCTTTTGTAACTCAACTGAAAGCTAATTAAATACCTTATCAGATAGTATGATTATTACAAGGTATAATTTTAATCTCGATTGTGTTATTTAGTCCTCCGGCTTGAAATATTCTTTAGGTTAATATATTGAATTTGAAAAGTCTGACCTAATAAATAAAGTTTGATAACCTAACACCTAGCTAGACTAAAAAGGTTATGTAATTTGATGTAGAAAATGAATTGAATGCCAAGTCATTATAAGTATTGGGTACTATACTACTATAGAATGGAATATATAAACAGTGATGAAGGGGTTGGTGAATGAGAATCAGAAAACATGGCAAATGAATTGAAGGGAGGAGACAGGACACGAACTTCAAGAGGGGAGGGACACAACAAATAGCAGAGAAGAGAAAGTCTAACTCACTAATTTAGTAAGTAATATTTAGAAGAAGAGATTAATGTTAAAATTTTACAACAATAATGTGTGGATTATGCTTAAAGTGAACAGATTTTTTGTGAGCGTATAATAATTGGTCATGTCTGCTAAGCCACTGAGTTACCGTGGTTAAGTGGAACGCGCGCATTAAGCCTCCTATGTCTTCACACAAATTACCTACCTAATAAATATATATAGAACGTAAAAACTGACTAGACCCTGTCTATTTTTTAGACTAAGAAACTGACCCTAGAGGTTGGTTCATGGCTACACAAATCTCACCATTGTCGTCATTGTTTCGAAGGTCACATTGCTGCCCACACTCGTGCATGTTTGCCAGGTCAGTCTCCGCTCATGCAAGTTCGCCAGGCCAATCTTGTTAGACAATCTTCGGTAAGTGTTTAAATACTTCTTTCCCTAGACCAGTTTATTTGGAGATTTGATTTTGAAAACTTTGTATACTTTCATACCTTGTTAAAGCCTTCCCAACTCATTATAACTCGTACTTGTACTTGGAGCACTAATCATATATAGTAAATAACACTAATAATACCTGATGAATTATTCCTACGTTTATCTGCTCATAAGTAACGCATTACTTTGTAGCATATAACTTAGCCCAATTACGCTATCATATCTCTTCTTATTTTTTATTTTATCTTTGATTGACATTAAGTACCAGGACTATGTGGTCTAATGGTACCCGGGTTAGACTTTCATTTGAAAGATTATGAGTTCGAGCCTCAGTGGAGGCGTTATTGGTTCTTTGTGTTTCAGCAGGTTGTGAGAAAGTATATGAACAGATACTACAATGTAATACGACCAGTAACTTTCAAAAAAAAAAGTACCAAAAATAAGTGTCCTTCTTGTTCAACTCTCTAATAACTAGAAATTATTCATCATATTCTTCACAGTAATATTAACTATTTTTCAAAATAATTATTTACAAAATAATATAATAATTTTTCGACAATTTCTATTTTCCAGGTAGATATAGGAATGCCAGCCAGCCAGCAATGACACATTGACACCTATTCAACAAACAACATAAACCTGCTAATAATGTCCCAAACCTATTCTAGCATTCTTCAAAATTAGCCACAAAACCAATTACTTTTGATTTTGTTGAAATAAGTGATTTTTTGGGATAATAAAACGTTACATCTCGTGAGATTATGATAAGACGTTTAGAAATTTATATATTACAAACAATAGTGGAGAAAAATCATAGAATTGACTTAGACTTTTATGATCTTTATTTTTTATTGATTTTTCGTTACTTTAATTATTTTGAAAATTGTTCAAAATCAGATGTACTCCAAAAGTTGTTTTAATTTAGAACCTAATCGAATTAAGACTCTTATGACCTTCATATGTGTGATCGTCTCACGCTGATATGTAAATATGTTTTAGGTAAAGTATAATACTTTTCCATGAACCTATAAAAAATATTACAATACATTTCATTAAAAAGTATCACATGAGAAGCTAAATGTGTTTTATGAGGTGTTCATTTGGTTTATAATCAAACCAAATTAATCGCGGTTAATAACCAAGCCAAGCCTTAATCATTAAGTGAGCTGAACTTCTTGTTTTTGAATTAAATGAATTTAAAGTTTTTTGAAAAATTTTAGTAAATTTTGAAACTTCTTTAAATTTATAAATAATTTTTTTCAATCCATAGTTTCACATTTCAAAACAATCATTACATCATCAATCAATATATAAATGATAAAATTGAAATATTAGTGCAATAGTATGATCTCTGAATTATTAAAAAAGAAATAAAAAAAAAAATAAAACGTATACTATATACTAACAATCCAGTAAACATATATTACCTCTGCTTCTCTTATTTAGCTTCTGATGTGAGCACATATGTACAATTCCATATTATTATTAGATTTATTTTCAACAAAAAATCTTTTTTTTTTTTTTTTTTGCTAATGACCTTGTAGTTTAGTGGCACGGCGATATTGACTCGATAATAATAAACAGATATTAATTGTATCATAATCCGTATTACTAAAAAAATCTTATTTTTTCCAAAATCATATACTCATAATTTCCCAAGTTCACAAGTAGGCCCCAAAACGCACACTTTTATAATTACTGAAGCATAATTGATTATTACAGCTGCAAAAAAAAAAAAAAAAAAAAAAAAGACAGTTAAAAAAGAAGAAGAGTAATTGTGAATTTCATTAGCATATTTTCAAAATTGACAACTACAACTCTACAATTCTACATTCTTTCTTTTTCCTCGTTATACATTCTGTACATTATTTTAATAAAAGAAAACAAAAGAAAATATATATTATATATTTTTTATATATTAAAAAAAAAAAAAAAGATTGCGGCCACTACAAACCGGCGGCGACCGTCGGATAATCGCCGTAGAAATCGGAAATCCCGGAGGCGAGCCACAGTCTCTCATTGAAGCTCTCCTGCATATCTTCCGGTATGAACGGCGTCCGGCAGAGCGGGCACGTTTTCTGATCGTGGTCCATCCAGCGGTCGAGGCAGTTGCGGTGGAAGATGTGGCGGCAATTCGTCAGCCGTCGGATCTCATCCTCGCCGTCGAATTCGTACAAGCACACGGCGCAGCTCTCGGGCGGGTCCACCAGCTCCGAGAACTTCACCACCGGCAGGAGCTCCCGGATCAGGGCGGCGGAGACGGAGTGGAGCTCCGACGCCGATTCCTCCCGGTCCGGGAACGACATTTCGGGTTCCAAGAAGTCGCCGAGGCCCAGAAAGCCGAAAATCGCGGTAATGAATCTCCTGAGAAAGCCTAGAAGGGTGAGGACGTGAACCAGTAGCTTGGGGAGGAAAAGATCAGTATAACCGACCGGAAATCCCATATCGTCGCCGTGAAACGGAACACGCCGTACAATCGTCGTTTAATTCTCCGATCGGAGACTGTTATGAGGGGGGAAAGCAGGGAAGGTTTATATAGGGGGAGGAGGGGTGTGAAAAGACAGGAAAGGGCTTTAGATTTGAGAAAAGAAAGGAAAATGATAAGCAAATAGAGAAAATTCTCTTTATATGTCAAAATTTTACTCCAAAAAAATTATGACAAGTTGAAGCATTATTGTGTAAATCATAAATAAAAATCCATTATTTATGTACATAAAATACATTATTTATGTACTGAAAATACATTATTTTATATATTATCAAATAATGTATATTTATTTATTTTTAAATAATAATGTACATTCAATACACAAAATAATGTATTTTTAGTATATTAAAAATGTATCTTATATTTAAAAAAATACATTATTTAAATATTAAAAGTACTTTATTTTATATAATGCACATTAGCACACAAATAATGTTTTTTTTAAAAAAAAAAAAAATACATTTGTAGATCACAAGGAACTAAATCAACTCAAATTGTCTATAACTGATCAAACTCAAATAAAAAATGCCAATAGACGGCCTCCACGAGAGTCAAACGTGGGTAATCCATTATATCTGAATGTTACAAGTTCAGTTCTGGTCAACACTTTTCTGGTCGAATTTGCTGCATAAGATCTTTCTAATGTGATATATTTCTTCTATATGATTTAATTCATTAGTTATTACACAATAACATAATTTATTCACCAGATACTATTTAGTAATGACTACAAATTTATTTTGTTATCTAGAAATTGCAATTCACTTTTTTTTTTCTTTAATATATTAAAGTGAATCATGTAAATAAAAATAAATAAATTGAAAGTGAGAGTATAATATGGAAAGGCAGAGACGTGACAGTGTGTATGTATTGTTGTTGTAAGAGGAAATGTAACGTCATGGATGAGATTGAACAGTAAATCTTTGATTAGATCACGTTACCCACTCTTTCATCGTCTTTTTTTTTTTTTTTTTTTTTTTTTTACTTTCCAATGTTGCCCCACGCGACAATGATACCTTGGATTTTCACGTTTTAATAAACATATTCCATCAAGATCAATATAATATTATACCAAACATAATTACTATAATTTCTAGTCCTTCAATTTTACTTTTTGATATGCTGGAAATTGATAATCTACTGTTTTTTTATGCGGATCTCAGTAAAAGTGTTTATATAAAAAATTTGAGTGTTGAAGTAAAAATTGAGAATAAAAAATGAGAATCCACTTAGTATTTTCTTTTTACAATCAATAGTTACCAAACCAATTAACATTTTTGGGTTGTTTGGTTGTAATGAGGGAATTATGGGAGAAATGAATTGTAATTCCATGATAAAGGAATAAGGTGAGAATTACGGTGGAATTCAAATTCTATTATTTGGTAGACATGAATAGAAGTGTTTGGTAAATATGAGAACTGAAAGAGAAGAAGTGATATAATGACTAATATATAATAGTTGTATGTATATATGTATATATAGTACGAGTTTTTGTATTAGTATAAAGAAACAGATAAATATTTTTGTATTAGTATAAAGAAACAGATAAATATTAACAAGAAGTGAGATAAATTAGTTGGTAGAGCATATGTTTGGTTATAGTGAATGTCTAAAGTTCAAAATATTTGTTAGCATTAACACAATTTTACAATTTCTCTTGGTTTCAACACAACCGTATTGTTAATAGCCCCACACACGTTCTCTAATTTCAAATTATTTTATCAAATTAATTATATTTCATATTTTGTTATAATATTTTTAATAAAATTTTGATGTGTTTTATTTTTCGCCCATATCCAACAATATTTATACTTATATTTCTTGGGTAATTTTTATTTTTTTTAAATTATCTCTTTTATTTTAATGTTTCGCCTTCACTCGAAAAAATTGATGGATCTGTCCCTACTTCGCCCCTTCTCAACCAAATTTCTAACTGCATCCCTGACTAAAATGCCCTTGTAATAATAATAATAATAATAATAATAATAATAATAATAATAATAATAATAATGTAGGTGACGTATGAGTGGGGTCAATTAATTATGTACAATAGTCAATGAATAAAAAGAATTTTACTGTTATATTAGAAAATGAAATCAGGAATAAAATGTGACATTATATTGTTATGTGACAAAATAATATTATATTATAGAAGGTCTATATATTAAATTAAAATTAGATCCAAAACAATACATTAATTGTGTCGCATGCAATATATGGGAAATTGTGTTTTCTGAATTTGCTGGTGCAGATAGATAGATCCTGTTGGTGCCATTCTGGGGAGACAATTAAACTATTAAAGATATTTTAGAATCTTAATAATTTTTTTTTTTTTTTGAAAACCAATATAATTTTAACTTATAATCAAAGATTCAAAGTAATTATAATTAGTCATAATAATCAGTTTGTGATCGGATCGGATATGATCATAATCAACTTCTGATATCTCTATCCTAGTAAAAAATATATATAATTTCTCTTTGCTGTCTGATTAAGGAATAACAGATGCCACCAAATCATATGATATACATATATTACTTACTAATTTTGAGGTAGCATGCATTTTGGAACCTTTGACATATTCAGTGAATCAGTATTATGTTTTTTTTTTTTTTTTTAAATTTCAAAAATATATACTAGAAATTACATAAATTAAATCTGAGTCAAGTAGCACCTACCATACTTGAAAAAAAAAAAAAAGTCTTAAGATTTTTTTGAAGTCGGTTTCTTGAACACACGTAAGTTAATGTATGAAGAGTAATGATGAGTCACGAAAGTATGTACAAAAGTTCAACACATTCATTGTGATTAAGTGAATATGTCTAATGGAACAAATCCGCTCTTGCTATATTTACAAGATATATACAAATATTACTTTAGGAGGGTGAAACATTTCACTAGTATCGAATTGACTATTCAACTACTAATCTAGATGCAATACATGTATTTAGTAGTAGGTTATTAACACTAAGCTTGGTGGACTCTTTGTGGACACCAGACATTGGTCCTTCCACCAAATAGATCGCTAAGCTAAGTCACGTGATTTATCATAACCACAAATCCTGTCGGGCCGGAATGTAGAGTTCTAGAGCTTTTTAAAAAATAAACACAACATTAATTAATTTTAAAATGTAAAAGAAAGGTCATTGTACATCAATGGCCTCACTAGAGTTTAAACCTGTGACCTTCTATTTAGGAGAGCCACAATTATATCACTTGACCACAAGGTCTTTGGCTGATTTTAATTCTTATTTACTACCAAACAAGTATTCTATCTACCAAAACTCATTACAATTACAAATATTTAATTCCAAGTATAATTCCGATTACAAAATTTGAACCAAATTAAATGTTCCCTTAGTATTAACTTACCACTATAGAGCAGCGAATGGTTGAACAGGACCTTCATGCCTCAAGGTACCAACCAAAAAAAATATATAAGTGTAGTTTCTGTCACAATTATATTGAGAGAGTGAATTAAAGGGGACCATCCAATATTATTAGGTTGCAACTTGTCAATGGGCAGACCATTATTTTCAACACATTTTGAGTGTAAGCAAGGGCAATGTTAAATACCCTCTTTAAATGTAGCTGACCACCAGCCTGCCTAATTAGTATATACTGCCTAACTCTTTATTAAAGTCCTACGTACATAATTTTGGATCCTTGCTTGTAAAATCAATAATTGAGATCATAATTCTCGTATCAGAAAGTCACAGGTTCAATTTTAGTCAATATCCCCTTAGTTAATTAAAATCATTATACAAGATTTTCTTAGTGCATTTACTTCTACAATGTAATTTATAAGCTATTATACAAGAACATGATTTCTACGAGCTATTATACAGAAATGAAGTTTCAATGCACACTCTCAAGTAGCAGTTACGATTCGAGTTTTTGTCCTCATCCAAAAAAAAAAAAAAAATTACTTCAGATCAAATATATATATCATTCTCCTTATCATCACATCTTCTGGAAAAGAAACAAAAAAAGTTGGCAAGATAATTGTCATCATTTGTATCCTATATATATATATGAATTATATTGAAGAAAGTGATAATAAGTAATTACGAGTAGTTTTTATCAAACACATTTTTATAAGCTGGTCAAAAGATTTAGCTTATTTATCTATTATCTGTTATTGCTAATTGCAAAATAAGGGTTATATGTTTTCGATCTATGTACCTTTAACCTATGTACTTTGTTACTGTTAAATTTACTATGTTTCTTCCCTACAAAAGTTGATGCTTATCATTTTTTGATCTTTTAAAAGTTTAAATGTCATACCATATTCTTATTGAGTTTTTTTTTTTGGGTGGTGTGGGGTGAATAGGGAGGCAAACATCCGGAAATAATTAAGTTTTCTCCCTATATTAGACTAATCTAAATTTACAAAATTCCTGTATAAGGATGCGAGAAATTTAAAGTGAATCACAAATTGTTCAATGAATCTTCAATTTTCATCCTTACTTGTATACTCTATGCAATGAATCTTCATCATTTCTGCATAATTGATTAGCCTGAGAGTAGTACAAATTGAAAAGCATATTCTGGTTGCTGTTCTTTGGAAGCGCAGAGATATTTTAATTTCAAAGCAATAAGCTAGAACCAACTTTTTTTTTTTTTTTTTTTTTTTTTTTTTTCATATAGAATAGGAAGATGTACGAGTACAGTGGCGGAGGCGTGGGGTGTGCTGCAGGGCCTACGCATGGCTAAGGAGTATGGTGCAAGGAGAATAATGATAGAATGTGACTCAAGGATGCTGGTAGAGGCGTTAAAGGGAAAGGAAACCGGGCAGGAGCAAAATAATAATATTGTTCGGAGGTGCATTAAAGAAGCGGAGAACTTCTTAGCTGTAGTTTTCCTGCATATCTACAGGGAACAGAACAAACTCGCCGACAAATTGGCGAAGTGGGCGTTGACGACTCAGGGTGGCCTCCACATCTTTGAAGTTCCGCCGGGGGAGTTTGAGGTTCGGATGGCTTTAGATCGGCTGGGAGCTTCATCGCTCAGACGAGTGTCTCACTGAA